AGTATCCCTATATTATTACCATATGCAGTGGTATTTGTAGTATCCCTATATTATTAACCATATGCAGTGGTATTTTGTAGTATCCCTATATTATTAACCATATGCAGTGGTATTTTGTAGTATCCCTATATTATTAACCATATGCAGCAGTATTTTGTAGTATCCCTATATTATTAACCATATGCAGTGGTATTTTGTGTAATATACCTACATTAGTCTGATTATAAATACCTGTATAACAGCCATAATCTTGTCACCATCTTTACTACCAATTCCTTTCTTGATAGCCACTGCAGTTTCGACAAAATGCTTTATATCTTTATGATTTTGATGATTGATGTGTTTTTCAAAATTCTAAAAAAAAAAAAGAATATATTTTAAAAATATTTTAAAATTGAAGGCATTGTAAATAGATATATATTCCCCATATGTGACTTACTAGACTAGGATGGAAGGCAGAATTATACATCTTGTTTGTATATTGTTTAAGCAAAGTATAAAGATAACCGACTATTTAGCAGAGTGTACTAGTATATACTAACTTAGGGTGTTAATTGGCAAGGATGGTGAAAGTAATACACCTCTTGTCAGATAATATACTGACTATTTAGCAGAGTGTACTAGGACAGTGGAAATAAATATTGGCATATCTATAGAATACTTAATATCTATTTTGAATTGCATACCTTAGGATCCGTGTCATGTAAGTCACATAATTTACAAGGTGGGACCAACTCATCGGAAGAAAGACGTTCTTCATACGCAACCTGTAATCAAAAAATATGGTTAAAATATCAATACACATGTCGTTGACAATGACATTTGTGAATAGGACTCTTGAGTAAGAATCTGTCCAATTAACCACGTAGGAACCATCAGTTCCAATAATCTGCTGCTTGTTATTTGAGATACCAAACTCCAACTGACTTTGTTTATCGTTAACATCTGAATAAGAACAAACTTAAGAGTAATTGAACATGTCTTTGATAGGACTGAATTCGTCCAAGCTGATTGGCAGAAAAAACTTGTATCATAAAAAGCAGTTTCCAAAATGTATGTCAAATGACAGTCAATGACATTTTCCTCATTTACATGTGGATAAATTTACATTTCAGGAGGAAAGAATATATTTAATATTGAGAATTAAAAACATTAAAACTAATTCACTAAGAAAATCACAGCCCCTTTCTTTTACTTTATATGACAAATAGCCAACATTTATACAAAAAAAAATGTATGTATGTTCCAGTTTACCACATGTGTGAGTCTTTCTTGTCAATTTTTGCAAAATGTTAAACAAAATGGCTGCCAGTCTGCCATCTTGAATAGGTTTCCAACACAGATAAATTGTCAATGATGTGCCAGAACACTATTGTCTGTGTAAAATAAATGATAAGATAAAGTCCAGAATTGTGGGCGTCACTATTTCAGTAAACAATTTTGGAGAGTGTATTACAGAGATCTGGTTCAGTCAGCAGTGTTTCATTCTCCACACATAACAGATGTTTCATTAAAGTTGACTTTAGAGTGACTGATAAGATTGCCATAATTTTGAAAAAGATCAGATAAAAACTGTTTGACTTAGTGTAATAACAAAAAGACCATTTTAAATGATATTTTCACTAGAATTTGGATAACTATGCGACTTTCAGCTGACAACGAGTTTCCCAAACCATAAGTCTCCAGTGAACCACAATGTCTTGGTTTCGTACCAGTAACAATATGGCTGCTCGTTTGCCATATTGAATCAAATCATGAAACAAAGTGATCTGCATTAATGAGTGATGTTAATACAAAATGTGTGTCACATTCATCATAATATAATATCACATACTTACAGCCAACTTTAAAGCACTGGCACCACTCCTGGCATTGCCAAGTTGTTGCAATAAATTCTTTAACTTAGCAAGCTTTCGGTGAAAATCTAAATTTGCCAAATGGGTTTCACCACTGCGATGCATCATCTAATAAAATAAACAATATTTTCAGTATATTGACTACTTTATATGCACCAATGGTAATGACAGTCAATGCTAGAAAAAAGATCAAATAGAAACAAACTTACTGTATCACCGGATACTGAGACATTACACAGCAAGCATTGATTTCTATTGCCAGTAGTCTTAGGAATAATACTCTTCTTTAATCTATCAACTAAGGATACTCTCTAAAGATAAATAAGAGTCTCAGTTAAAATACATCATTGAATACAGCAGATTACATTCAACAAATATATTATGAAATTCCCTGTTATTTGTACTTCCTACTGTCTATTACACAGAATACAAGTACTTGCAATTTCAACACTGATCTGATGAATAAGACTGACTTACATTGGTTGCTTTTATCAGGGCTGCCACTTGATCTTTCACCTTTTTATCTTGTACTTTCTTCTGTGTATGGCTGGAATCTTTCACATGACTTTTCAGCATCTGGGAAAAATGATAAAAACAACAGAATTAGAGCTTCTTCAAAGCCATGGTTATTTTTTTACCAGGGATTGAATTCATGTCAAATTCTGCTTGCAAGACCATTAATATTAGAGAAAGATCCCTATTGTAATACAAACTAGTTTATCTATGTTTAGAAATGAAAGCGACTTGTTTAATTTTTTCTTGTATTGTTAGTGTTAGTTATTTTTTATGTTTCCAGAATTTGTTACTTAATTGTACTTTCCATCAACTCAAATATGGGGTACAATAACAATAAAGATTCTATTCTATTCTATTCCACAAAAAATAAACAGCATATGAATGTACGTCTGAAATGTGCAAATCATAAACAAATTTTACAAATACAGTAAGTATAATGGATACCATGTCTTGGCACACATCACAATACTAGGATGCACTTACTTCTGATGTCTTGCAGTCAACTTGACATTTGTAACAGAACCATTCAATGTGATCAGTAGAAGATTTCTTTTCAACTAAGATCGGTTCATTAATCTCAATCATTTTGATTTCAGCTTCCAATTTCTTGTGTTTAATACCATCAACATGAACTTGTAATAACTGCAATGACAAATTGGACAGTTATACACTGGGTCAATGCCCTGATATCGTTATACACTGGGTCAATGCCCTGATATAGTTATACACTGAGTCAATGCACTGATATAGTTATACACTGAG